ACACTGAAGAAATGAGTGAGTGTACAGCTTGTGTAACAATGTAAATTTTCTGTCCCCTCAAAATAACTCAACACACAGCCGTTACTGTCTAAACCGCTGGCAACAAAAGTGAGTGCCAAGTGAAAATATCCAAATTGGGCCCAAAATGTCAATATTTTGTGTGGTCACCATTATTTTCCAGCACTGCCTTAAGCCTCTTGGGCATAGAGTTCACCAGAGCTTCACAGGTTGCCACTGGAGTCCTCTTCCACTCCTCCATGACGACATCACGGAGCTGGTGGATGTTAGACACCTTGTGCTCTTTGAGGATGTCCCACAGATGCTCAATAGGGTTTAGTCCATCACCTTCACCCTCAGCTACTTTAGCAAGGCGGTGGGTCGTCTTGGAGGTGTGTTTGGGGTCGTCATCATGCTGGAATACTGCCCTGCGGCCCAGTCTCCGAAGGGAGGGGATCATGCTCTGCTTCAGTATATCACAGTACATGTTGGTATTCATGTTTCCCTCAATGATCTGTAGCTCCCCAGTGCTGGCAGCACTCATGCAGCCCCAGACTATGACACTCCCACCACCATGCTTGACTCTAGGCAAGACACTTCTTTGGACGACCATGGCAAGGCCTGTTCTGAGTGGAACCTGTCCTGTTAAACTGCTGTATGTTCTTGGCCACCATGCTGCAGCTCAGTGTCAGGGACTTAGCAATCTTCTTATAACCTAGGCCATCTTTATGTAGAGTAACAATTCTTTTTCAGACCCTCAGAGAGTTCTTTGCCATGAGGTGCCATGTTGAACTTCCACTGACCAGTATGAGGGAATGTGAGAGCGATGACACAAAATTTAACACACCTGCTCCCCTTTCACACCTGAGATCTTGTAACACTAACAAGTCACATGACACCGGGGAGGGAAAATGGGTAATCTGGCCCAATTTGGACATTTTCACTTAGGGGTGTACTCACTTTTGTTGCCAGTGGTTTAGACATTAATGGCTGTGTGTTGAGTTATTTGAGGGGACGGCAAATTTACACTGTTACACAAGCTGTACACTCACTACTTTATATTGTAGCAAAGTGTCATTTCTTCAGTGTTGTCACATGAATAAATATAATCAAATATTTACTTTTTTATCTCACTTTTGTGAGATACTGAATAAATATAATTAGTGTGTGTATATATATATTTAGAATATTTCTTATGCTTATTGAACAGAAAGTCCTTCTATGCTGTATTCAATCACAGCCAAGGCATTATGTCAGTGCCATTCCGTGACAAGTCTGACTGCTACAGCTCTCAGACAGTTCACAAGTGTCAGAGTATTATTTGACATAATTTGTCAGGTATGTATTAATATGCATCTACAAAGAACCACATGTAGCTTTATACATCTTGATTACAGTACATAGGTGCACAAATTAAATATAGAGATGATGCTGCATCTGAAGGACGAGGCATGAAAGTCAGAGCGATTGCTTATACAGAGTGTCATTCTCAATTTCACACAAACAGATCTGCCATACCGCATGTTTGTTCTATCAATATTTCAGACACACAGAGCTCGTCTAGTTCACCTATAGGTGGTTAATGATGTTACACAGAAATGTCTTAATTGCTGTTCTCATTTTTATTTCATCAGATGTAATTTACTCATCTCCGAATGTCTATTTCAAAAGACATGTTAAGTTTAAATGCAACTAAACAAATTAAGGTTCAGGGTTGGAGGAACTATGAATGCAAGGTTTGGAAATTCTGCAAAAAAACTCAAACAAATATAATGCTTTAAAACTACAGTAACCATCTTTTTTTGGCTTTCATGTTCTTGTTGGCCAGACTTTTGAATACACTTCCAGTGGATATAAAAAGTCTTAACATTCCTATTAAAATGGCTGGTTTTTGTGATGTAAAACAATTAAACCTAGATAAATCCTCCGATCTTTTTAAATCAGCAGAGGATGACTAGCCTATTTTATTTTGCAGTCTGTTCAACATATTTTGTTTGATATACAGACGTATAAAATTGTGAGCCTTGTATGAAATATGATACACCATTACACCCCATTAACACTGGTTTTTCACGTGATATCTGTCCCATCATCTTCCTCTGTGATCTCTGTGTTTATTGTAATTTATATTTATGCCTTTGCCACTAGCTGGGGAGGTATTGTGTTTTTGGGTTGTCCATCCGTCCATCTGAGATCCTCGTTACTGAGATATCTCAAGAACGAGTGACTGAATTTTTGCAGGATGTTACCAGTAGATGAACATTATTAGATTTTAAAATTGATCCAAACAACATCAAGGTCACAGCAAGGTCAAATGTCTGAAATAGTTTTTCTTCAAGATCTGCCTTCTCGTTTTAAGGGTAGTTCTGCTATACAAGAAGGATTAGACTTGTTGGTGGCAGAGGCATCCCTGGTGATCCTTTGGTGTCTAGTTCGACCTGTTTTTCTATGCTGACTACTGTGCTGGTGTGTAGTGTAGATCAGTAGACTCCAGACCAGGATTTTGTAGTAATGGTATTTCCCATTACATGTGCTTTTTTGACACTCTCTCAAAGAAGACAGAATCCTCCACAGCTGGAAACATGGTGTGGGCGCCAAGGCACAGGCACACAGCGTACTTGTGTTTATCAGCAGAGAGCAGACACAAGCTCCAGGCAGACAGGAGTCGTGACAGATGTCAGGGACAGTGGGCTGTTCCTCCATCACTCTTCCCACCAATCATCTTCTCTGCTCCTCTGTTTGATTACCACTGCACTCAGAAGTAAGATGAAATCATAGAAATATATCAGGGAGCCAGATTGCAACAGCCAAATGCCACAAGATACATTATCGATGCCACAGATATTTATATATGCAAGAATTGTTGCGCATTAGACCGCTAAGTGAGCTGGAACTGTGTACGAAAATAATTAGAATGAATTAGCATCACTCAATATGCTAGTAATGTTTTTTTGTCCTACACATGTCCTGCATAGTTCATAATTCATTTGTATGCATTCAGAGAATTAATAACATGACACATACTGACAAATCATTAGACTTAAACTCCATTCATAAAATAAATCTAACAAAAAAGATATGATTTTAAAGTGTAATAACTTATTTGAATAATCTTTGGCTTTAAACTATATTCCATTATGTTCCATTACTAGAATAGAAAAGGACCATGTCATCAATGTGTCCTGGAGGGCAAGGGCTTATTTTATTCTCATGCTGTCAAAACACATGTTTGTTCAGGTCTATCAGACACAAACATGCTTTTCATTCCCACACTAATGGGAGATCCCCAAAACCAGCCAGTTATAACAGAAAGAGCTTTTAATTTCACAAGTAATCCATGCAGCTGCTTCTCATTTTAACACATGCAGAGTGAAACAGAAGATGCAAGAGAGAACAACACAGGCTGTGTTCTACAGAACAGCAAAATGCTTAGCTGACACAAAGTCTTGATTCACGATCTTGCACATTTTGTCTGTATTTGTGCTGTGAAAATGACCAAAATTCACACCTATCACTTCTAACAGGAAATGTAAGGAATAACACAAGACAAACCATTTGATTTATACAGAAATGTTCTGGAGTATAATTTGGCAATGATTACGGTGTTGACACAATTTAATGGTTTATAGTTCAAACTTAATGTTATGTCTGCATGACAAGTTCCTGAAATCAGTTGGGGGGAGCATGTGTTAACCACTAAGCCACCGTGCCCACGGGCATTTATATTTATATTATATATATATATATATATATATATATATATATATATATATATATATATATATATATATATATATATATATATATATAACAACTCCGCTTGTTACTTTACAGAGAAACTGGAACGTGTAAACTTCTTTAACTTTGAGGCATTGTGAGAAAGCACTGATGAAAGCATAAATGTTAAATACATGTCTTCTAACAAAAAACTTATCAACAATTATGTGGTTTTCTTTGTTAAACATGGTGTTTTTTTTTAAACCATTTATGATTGGATTATTTGGAACATCCACCATGAAAGTCCCTGTGTAGGAGGTCTTACTATAGAAAAAATAACATTAGAATGAGCGCCTTAACAAATATCTATCGTTCATGTTACAGCCAGAGCTACTTATACAAAAATACTGCACACCTTCTGACCAATCATAAATAAATGTAAATAATATAATATTCGTGGACATGTTTACTTTTTCTTTCTTTTAAAAAAAAAAAACAAAATATATTCTCTTATTTTGAACTAGCCCAGACAAATCTTTTTTTTTTCCCCTCTCATTTGTTAATTGTCTTCTCTAATCTTGTGTATAAGCTTAATTTTAACAAAACTGAAAGTTTTCCATTACTAATATTTAATTATAAAGTAACTGGTCATATGTTTCATTTCTAGTGCTCCATTTTATATTTGATTTTAAGTGTTTAATTTATTAGTAAATGACCATTAGATTTTAAATACTTAGGAATATATGTAGAGAAATTTAAAAAGTCTATACAAAGTCAGCTATGCCAGCCCTTTGGAGAAAGTGGGGACGAATTTGAAGCCATAGATGAACCGAATTCTCACTTTTAGAATGAATGCAATAAAAAATGAATGATTTTTGGTATTCTATTTCACCATCCTATTGCCTATGTAGCATATGTAGGGATGGTGTTAAATCAACTTCCTGTATCAGCTCTATCTGATACCTCAACTTGATTGCACAAATTCAACCCAGGTATATCACCCTGTTTTAGTTGTGGTGCAGCAGAAGAAATTTTTTAACTCAAACCAGCTATACCCCAAAGTATATAAAGTAAGGAAGTCTTCCTGTAGAAAAGCTTTGAAAACTTAAGGTTGGACAGCCATTTACTAATTATATGAAAACCAACCTATTTGTATTAATTAATTCATGCATTTATTTTTTTGTTTATTTATTTATTCATTCATTCTTTTTCCAATATTTAGTCTTGGCTGATTCCCACCCACCAGTCCTCCACATACAGCAGCTACCAATCAGGGAGGGTGATGCGCAGTGGTAGCTCAGTGGTTAAAGCATTGGGTTACTGATTGGAAGGTCATGAATTCAAACCCCATCACCACCAAACTGTTGGGCCCTTGAGCATGGCCCTTAACCCTCAGATGTCTGCTTTATGCCATAAATGTAAATGTGATGTTTCTGAACATGAAGTCAGACAAACAAATATTTTCAAACTGCTGCTCATGCAGAGTAACAAGGCAGCATAACCCAGTCGGATAAAAGTGCCATCTGCCTTCTCCAGCATGCATAAACTCAGACACTCATGTCTAATGTCATTGCGATTGACAGGACTATGGCTCCTGGACATCATTGGGATTTGAAATCGCGAACTCTGGACGACAATTTGAATAGTTTTCTGTGTGTGCCCTATTCATTTATTTATAGATCCCTTATATATATATATATATACTAATTATAATCAAAAGGGCAAACCAGTGTGTCACATGGTCAGCGGTGAGGTTTTTATTTTTAATTATATCTGAGCTATCCTCAGTGTCAGGCTCGTTATTTTTATTCAATCATGTCTAATGCTAGAAGGTGCAGATGTCTTTTTTGTTTGATATTTTTACTTGCTAGCAGTACTGTTTCTCATTTAGTGTCACCTCTTAGAAGACATGTTTATTTAAGCGTACATTTTCAGATATGGCATCCTTCCTCATAATGTAATATTACTCATCTTTTCCTTGTTTCCCTTGTATAGTTGTATCCATTTACATTTGATCCTTCTTTTAATTTCTCACTGATCAGATTCCTTTTGATTTTTTCTTTTTCTTTTCTTTTTTAAACAACTGTTATATAGACCCAAACAACCAGAACACAATACAAGGAAACGGCTAAGTAAGCATGCCATACCGGACAGTTTCCTTCCTCCCTCAGGATGCTAACAGACAATCCCATAGTGTGTAACGGAGAGAAATATTAGAAAAAAGCTTTTAGGTCACAATAAATATCATACAGCTTGATGAATATGAATGTATTGCCTGATGGACTCCCCACTACTCTAAAAATACCTAACAAGTTTTCCTCCCTGGGATAGGCTTCAGGTTCCCCCGCGACCCTGAACAAGGAGTAAGCGGTAGAAGATGGATGGATGGATAACAAGTTTCTTGAATCATATGATGTTTGGTTTTTAGTGTGCTTGGTCAGTGCCATCTGCTGTACTGGATCAAAAGGCAGCATGAGGCAGAGATGAAGCTGCATCCATTGCATACATTTCTCACATTTCTTCTCCTTCAGCTGTGCATGCTGTCATGCTGATGTAAGAGTATGAGCTGCAGCAGTAATTGGTCTATTTTGTGGAATGTTTACACACTTCTGTTTGCTGTAGGAGGGTGTGTGTGTGTGTGTGTGTTTGATTACTGGGCTGAACATGGGCAGTTACAGTTAACCTGCTCTATCTTTGGTCTTCTGTTGGACTGCTCATTGTAACAGCCGTGTAGGGGATAGATCCAAGTGCTCTCCAAATTTTTTTGCAACCAGGGACCCTTATAATTGTAAGATAAATTGCAAAGGACCCTCCCCCCCCTTATCATTTTAGAAAATTTTAACATTTCTAATATTTTGTGTATGTATTCGAACCATAGAGCTTTATATTCCTGAACGTTCCAATGACTAACACATTAGGTCCAAGTTGACGTTATTTATCGGGTGTGTATTTATCGGACTTGTGTAATGTCATTGGCGGATTCAGCCATGAACTCCACTCTTGTTCATCGTGGCCTCCCAACATGGCTGGATTCCATTTCCCAACAGCCACAGCCACATTTCCTCATTCAAGGTCACCAGACATTTAATCACACTCACCTGATCCCAGTCACACACACTGCTATAAATAACACTGACAGTCATTCATACAATGCGAAATCTCACGTCAAGAACATGTTTGCGATGACACCAAGACTTGTCTCTTGTTTACATTCTGTTTTTTGGGTCTCGTTAATTTTTACTTTGCAATTGGTCGTTAATATTTACTTTTGCACAAAATTCCTCATTCCTTAATTCAGAAGAATAAGAGTGAACAATGAGTGTATAACTTCTGTTGAAGAAATGCAATTAATTTTTGTTCATTTTTATAGTAGCTCCAGTGGTTAGTATTTATAATTTGTTGACACCCATAATTTGCATTCATTTAAAGAGTGGAAAATGTGATGTTTGCCCATCTTGAGTGTTAGTGCTTTAGTGAGGCTTTTGTACTTTCATGCTGTTAAATAACAGCTATGCTATCCTTAATGTGCTACGGATGGCTGGCTTGCCATGCTGTAGTTGATGTTGCCATAACAATATTGAGGATTTTCATGCCCAGGAAGGAAAAATAAATCACCATCAATGGTAGAGAAGTGGAAAAAACGGACAAGAGGCAAGGGCTCAGTTGAGCCAGTTTTTATAGACATTGAATCAATAACTGTACCTTAAGCTCATTATTATTATTATTATTATTATTATTATTATTATCTGATGGGTGGATTAAAATGAACCCTTATCCCATGATCTGGGTCTCTGACATTTATGGACAGTTCATTGCTTACATATACATGTCTTACTGTGAATTCTCCTCACCTCCATTTTAAATGAGTGGTAACAAATTTAAAGTGCATCACCTGGTGGTTCCTTATTTGTCTATTTGTATCCCAACTCTAAGCTAATGGAGGTTAACTGCAGCACCTGGAGATAAGCTGGATATTACCAACCATAGAGTCATCAAAAAACATGTGTCTGTGTTCTTATTATGCATGTGCACCATATCCAAAACAAGAAATAAATGAATCATATTGCAATATGTTGTGATGTTTAACTGTTTTAGGTTTCCCAAAAGTTGTGTGTTGGGTTTTAGGACATCTTATATTTCTTATGACTGCTGTAACTTTTTTAGTTGTTGTTGTGAATTGGTGATATTCCATAAATAAATATAATTTCAGGATATTTTCTGCACCTTTGTCTGATTGTTAAAAATGCTTGTTAATTGTTAAAATGCCAGTAAAAATTGTTAATGCCTGTTTTTAAACTTGGCACGGCTATTTGTTCAGATTTAAGTATCTTAAATGGAATATGTGATCAATCTCACTCCAGTGACTTTTTTTCATGATGTATGACACATATGCATCACATTGCTGTGTACATGAGACATGAACTGTATACATAGACTCTTACACCAGGTTCAAACACACATGGTTTTCGGGTTGCATGAGTCTTTGTTCAGCTTAAAAAGCATAGTTTGTCTGCCTCTCTCTGTTTTTGACTGACTGGTTGTGTAACAGATAGAAATATTAGAAAGAAGCTTTTTGTTCAGAATAGACATCCTACAGCTTCATTAATGTATAGTTCAATGTATAAAGGAGTGGGAAAAGGAGTTTTCATAATGGATATCTTTTTTTAAATAGATGAGGAAGCTGAAGCCCCAGAGAGATGGAGCTCAGCAACGAGAGAGCAAGCGAGAGAGCGAGAGAGACCACTGAAGTGAATGGCAGGCTTGTAGGGATGAAATGATGCACTATGTCTGGCTGCTGCTCTCCTTGCCCTGTGCTTGATTGCACCTCTTAATGATTGTGGCTGTCTGTAGCCCACATTAGTGCTGCTCCAGCAGACACTTTCACATTCTCCCTGGGATAAACAATACTGGGTGGGAAGTATTATACAAAGTATAATTTGGATGTAAATACAATATGGAAGGGAGTTGAGTCTAAATTTCATGCAGAAAAGTGTTTTTGTGTGTAAAACCCTATTACTATAGGACTTTATGCCTCAAATTTTACAAAGTCTGAGAGCAGAAATATGCAGTCAACAATAAACAAATCCTCAGTTCTAGATCAAGCACTTAAAAGTAGGTGCTGGTAAGCCTAATGAGTTTAAAGGAGAAGCTTTTGTTATACTTCAATTATGAATTACTGCTTGAGTATTTATTGTTTGAATCACCTGTTTTGTAATTTGTCCAATAGGCACTTGCTTCACACTGATCTGCAGAACACCTGCAAGCATCACTAACAAAGCTACTATAATCGCTTCCACTGTTTTTCACTGTTATTATGAACTTGGTTTTGTCTTGTGCTTGGAATGTGGGCTGCAATCTTTATACAAGAATTATTGTAAACCCCATATGCCACAACACCCCAGTGTTTTTGTTAAGTGCCATCATCATCTTAGTCTTTAAGGCTCAGATTGAGTGTTTGTGCAATTAGAATTATTTTGTATACATTAGCATTAATCAAGCTCAGTTTGTCAAGAGCAGTTAATGTTTATAAATATTTCATTTCATTTCAGAACATTAGTGATTACTATAACTTAATGTGACTCTTTTTGCTTATATTAAACAAACTATCACATGCCTTGTTTTATTGTTCTCAGCTCAACAAACAGCAGCTGCAAGCAGTGAAGGAGAGATTTCAGGCCTTCCTGAAAGGAGAGACGCAGATTGTAGCTGACGAAGCTTTCTACAATGCTGTGCGGAGTTACTATGAGGCAAGAATTTTGTATTGCTCAACACCCTACTGCAGTTAGAGAAACATTTAATGGCTTCACATGCATTTGCAGGCGTAGTCATAATAATTATTTTGTAATTGTATATGTGTGGTATGGGAAACTGTGCACATTTGATATTTTCTCTGTTTAACATTCCCTTACTCAATTTGTTGTGGGCTATAATATGATTTAATTTGATACAAGGTCCTCCACTAATATTGGTACCCTTGGTAAATTTGACAAAGAAGGCTGTGAAAAATGGCCTTTATTTTTTAACCTTTTGATCTTTTGTTGAAAAAAAAACACATAGTCTGTTCTCATGGATGTCAAACAATTGCAAACAAAGAAATCTTTGTTAAATATAGGTGTGCTACAATTATTGGCACCCTTTTAAACAATAATGTGCTACCTCCCTTTGCCAAGATAACGGCTCTGAATCTTCTCCTACAATGCCTGATGAGGTTGGAGAATAAATGGCAAGGTATCGGAGACCATTCCTCCATACAGAATCTCTCCAGATCCGGTATAGATGTTTCAGGCATTCTAATGTATCAAGAAATGTCTTTATCTTTGGGATTGTGTTTAAATGATGCAATTTCAGCTTCATTAGAG